AACTCTTTCTTTGTGTTTTAACACTATATATAAGCTACAGCCTATTTCCTAGTCTCATTTCTTGCCCAAATTTGTTTTTATCCCACACTTTGCTAAACAACTATCTGCTACTCTCAAAAATAATTTCCATCTCTGCCCCTTTGCAAATGGTTCCTTTCACCTGGCTCTCCTTCCCTTCTGTCTCTCCTGGCAGAAAACTATTGTCCTTAAAGGCTGTTCTTGGAAGTCGTACTTAATTTTTGTGAATGTTTGCAATCCCTTTAGGACTTTCTTTGTACTTATAAGTGTAAGCAGTTATTTTGCCTTTTATATACAGCTAATTGTATCTCTCTTCCCATACTGGGAGTTTACTTATCTTTATTTTCTAAGTGTCTAAGGTATTGTTTTTGAACATATGTGTTCAATAAATGTTTATTGGCCCGAGATGAACTAAAAGAAGATTGTAGTTGGTTTTGGGGAAGTGTTGAATGTTAATTGAGGGGTATGCTTTTGCTGGGTTCCCAACACTTCAATCTCCTTGTACTTTTGTTCATACAGTGAAGGTTGTTTTTGGTAGGGAATAAGGAACAGTTGAAATTATCAATGACTTGAAGGGACACCCCCTCCTCTCCACCTCCGCACCATGTAAGACTAAATGATACCTTTTATTTTAAAGGGATCACTGGTTTTACTTATCTATAGGCAACTTTATTTTCCTACCCTTTTAATTTCTTTCAGTACTCTTTGAAATTTAAGCTAATTAACATGGCTTAAATGTCTTATATTTTATTATACATGTTAAGATTAACTCTAGGAAGCAAAAGTAGCCATGAAGGCTCCTGTGAGCTATTGGAGGAAGGTTAAAATTTAAAATGTTTTAGCTAATAAACAAGAAGAGAGATGGTTGTTAACATGGCCCTTTTATATTATAATGATAGAATTAAAAAAAGAATGGGAAAGAACATGATTATAAAATATAAATGTGTCATTCAAGTTGGCATTAGAGAAGACGTTCCATAAAGCTAACGTTAGTCTGAGATACAAAGCAGTTGTTGCACTGATGCAATCACAACCTCACACCATGTTCTGCAATGCTCCTATTGTGCACTAGTGTTACTCTATACAGTGACAGTTGATGGCTTGGTTCACTAAATGTGTCAATTTAATTTTTGGTGTCTCTAAAGCATCTAGAGAAGCACACCTGAATCAGGAAAGATTAGAAAACCCCTTTTAGGGGTACTCTAAATTTTATTATATAAATATTATATACCATTAAAAATATACCTGGTTTTATGGAATTTTCAACATGCAGAATTAACAAAGTAGGGAAATTTTTCTTTTCATATTGTTAGGTAGCTAGTCAGACATGAACGACAGGTGAACAAAGGAATAGGGGCCCAGCTCTGTAACCATAGAAACTTCCCTTGAAGACCTTCCTCAAGGACCTCCCAGAAGTACCTCTCTTTTAGGGTTATAAATTACCCAAATCCTAGAGCACAAAGGCCATAAAAGCTGCTGTCCTAAACCAGCTACAAACGCATGCGCAGAAAGTACTGCCCCTAACTTCAGCCTCATTATACCATCATTATAATCTCATGACTAAGCCTGGAAATTCATGAATCTAATTATAAGAGACTGAATTCTGGGTAAGCACATGCATACTAGGCAATTACAGAGCAGCCAGGTGTCAGTCGAGGTGGCCTCACTTGTCAGTCACCTAGGAATGTCTTTAGGACCACCCCATCACAGCCCCCAAATATAACGCAGAGAGACCTCTCCCATCCCCAATGTTAAAGCTTTCCATCTTCCTTGGTTGTAACCAGTACTCACTTCTTAGGGGTACATAACCTCTTTTCCACTTGGCCAGCTGGTTTTAGGCTTGACCTGTCTTCTACCTCATAATGTGCTTTTAATAAACAAATATTTCTCATGTTCACTGAGTTGAAATTCATTTCTTAGGTAGTGAAAAGAACTTAGAGGTGTGTGTGTTACCAGAACTCCAATCGCTCCAGTGGTAACAATATTACTTAAAGTCTCTAATTTGGGCCATTTCATGAGGAACTCATTCTTGTCTGTGATGAAGATGTTTCTGTGGTCTAGCACAGATTTACAAACTAAGGAAAAGTGAGAAAACCCAAGTTCTTTAAGAGCTGCAAGCCTGGTGTTGAAGGGGTTCCACAATGTAAGGGGCTCCCCAAGGTCTGAGAAAAACAGACAGGTTGTGCCTCAGTGACAGAAAGATTGGCAAGACCCTACATTAGAATCATCTTTGCTGTAAATTCCAACTAAAGTTTTTGTGTCCCTTATAAAAATGTAACTGATTTTGTATTGCTAAAGAGACAGGAATTGTTTTACATTAACTTGAAAGCTCATTTTACTGGTTGCTGATATTCCTTCAAGAGATGGGAGACTTTTTAAAATAACATATGCACCCCTCAACCCTTGGTGAGAATCATTTTTTATCACTGCTAGGAGTCATTAGATACTATAGGTGAATTGGGGTTCAAAAAAGTTTATTCCCCTCTCAAAGGATTACCAAGCCATATTTACTTTCTGAAATAAAATAAGTCATTGAAAACTTTACTTGACTTTAGTTTAATCAGTAATAACTAACCATATCGAAGCATTTTAAAAGAAGACACTGACATAAATGATTTATAAAAGTGAATAATTTGTAAGTTGCAATTGCATTTTTTTTTTTTTATTTTATGGAAGCACAGTGTTATACAACGTTCTTTTCACATTTCTTTCTTCTCCAGCATTTTTATAGGGAATAAAGCATTTCTGGAATGCTCATTTAAATTTCAAAACACAAGCTATTCTATGGAAAACATTTGGAGCATGGAGGATCTGAACAATACTAGAGGAATGTTCAGTGGGAAGCATCATGAATTGTGGCACTTAAAATACATTCTGAAGGAACATTTTAGATAATGATCTTATTCTTCATTTTAAACAAAGGTTTTAAACAAGGTGCTATAATTTGTCTTGATCTGGACAAGTATCTTTTAACTCAATATATAAATTTGAAAATAGTGAGATATTTGCTTTTTGGAGTATGTGAATACCTATGTAATAAATCAGACTTACTATCATCTTTACATAATGCATGATAAAGACTTTTGTCACTATTTGGCTGCTTGTAAAACATATAGAATATGCTTTTTTTAGCTGCCTTCATCACATTCAGCATGGGGGACCCCAAGAGCAAGATAAGATTAGACCCAGAGAGAATGCCTTTGACACGGACCCCATAACACATTTTCTATATCCATATGGGAATGAACTAGGAAATACACATTAAGTGCCAACCAATATTTGTGTCAGGTTATGCATTTTGCAAGACATTTTACATTATTTAACCCTTACATAGTCTTATAGGATAATATGGTTGACCTCATTTTCCAAGAGAGGAAACAAAGGCTTGCTGCAATGCATTTCACTCTGGGTTGTGAACATGAGAATAAAGTACATTAGAATAAAACAGAGGGTATGTTGGATAAGGGGAGAAGGATAAAAGGGCAGACAAAAATTGTTTTCATCCACATATTTCTCCCATAACTTGTAAGTTCTTTCTTAGCTCTTAACTAAAAAATTGGGTCCAAATATCCAAATAAACAAATATTTAATGCTCTATAAACAAGCAAAATCTTCAGAGGCTGCAGAGCAGGAAGGGTTATGTTTATATATGTGTTTGTTTTCAGTGAAGTGGTACATAATTTTTATAAGACTAAGCTATTTGATGACATGCAGAGGTCTAACTCGATAGGAGTTTCAGGTCTTCTAATTTAAATACCGGATACAAGTTTATTTTTTTTCTTCCTCTATGATAGTGATCTTCAAGTTTTGCATATGGACATGTTAACAAATTTCGTTATTGGGATCCAAGGTATAATCAGAAATGAATATTTTTTACAATGTAATTTGGTATGAGGTTTTGTTTCCAAATATAAATACTTAATTTCTGTCTCTGAATAATGCTCTTATCATGAGTTTATTCTTATTTTAAATGTATTTACAAAATTAATACATGTTCATTATTAACATAGGCAATTCAAAATATACACATTAAAAAGTCCTATTTAACTTCTCCTTTCATTAAGCCATTTATATAATATTTATTAAAATCTACTTTGTGCATTATTCTAGGTGCTGGGGAACAAAACACATTTCATGCTTTCATGGGGTTTACATTTTAGTATTGGAAGCATGAAATAAACATATAATCATAATAAATGTCAAGCTCTGCACATGTTTTGAAGAACTATTAGGTAGATGAGAGGACAGAATGGAAGAGGGTGGGGATGGGACAGTCAGGAAGGCCTCTTCATTGAGGACTTTGAGTGTGATCTGTTTGTTTGAGATAGCAGCTGAGTTAGGGGAGAGTGTAGGAGATGGGCAAGAGAGGTTACAAAGGGCCAGAAATGTAGGTTATAATAAATATTTGGTCTTTGTCCTACTGAGGTAACTGCTTTATATGTTTCAGAGTAGCCCTCCCCCCCAATATTGGTAATCTCTATTCTTAGCCAGAATAGATTAATATTTACTGACTTAATTATATTTATTTTTGCTTCCTTCTTAATGTAGATTGCTAGCTACAAAGTGATATAAATTTTATAATTTGATATTTTTGAGATATATAATTTTCTATTCTCATTGGTGACTGCTTTATCAAGGTTTTGTATTCTTTCTTCATATGAAGTTTCTTTAATTAAAACAACACACACACGTTCATGCACAGACTGTCTTCTAAAACATCGTTCCAATAGTAAAACTCGATGAGATTTAATCTTTAGGGCCCGCTTATACTCCGTTACTCCCTTCCTAACTTTAGCTGGGAACTCTGTGGTAGCAGATAATATCGCTCTTGGTGCCTCAACTTGACTTTTGGGGATGTACCAATAGTACCTGGAATGGTCATGTTGCTATGATATACTTCAATTTATTTTGGGCTGTAATATCCCAGGACTATGTTCTCTTAAAATGCGTCTAGTGAGTGACTTCTATTTTTCCAATTTTAGGTTACTACACTTGTCAATTGTCCCCAGAATCCTTCCAACAGGAAAAAAGGACGTTCAAAAAGAGCCAGAGTCCTTCTAGCTTCTGTGGAGGAAGCAACTTGGAATTTATTAGACAAAGGACAGAAGATTGCCCAGGAAGCCACAGTTTTAAAGGAAGAGCTTACTGCTACACTTGAGGAGGTTCGCAAAGAAAGTGAGTATTCTCGTCCTGGTAAGGAACAAACTGCATATCCTTAGTGTTAGTTACTGAATGAGATTTGTGAGTCTTTTGCTTTTGTTGACCTGAATTTATTAGTTCTTGTACAGCTCTGAGGAGCTAGCTGTGGGAGGCAGAGTGGCTCATTAAACAGCTCCAAGGCTCAGAGACCTACCCCTGGTTCTTTCTGTTAGTTGTTCAGGCCTTCCAGGCAGCATCTTCCTCTCACCATGTCATAGTTTATCCATAATAAAGAGAAGTGTACCTTTTTTTTTTTTTGTCATAGAATATAATGAGAAGGGGCTAATGAAGCTGAAGACGTATATTCTCATACATACGTAAATTATAAAGTTCCTGGTAAACAGTTGGAGATAGAAGTTTCTGACTACCACAGAAGTACATTTTTTATTTTTTAGTTTTCTGGAGGTTTAAGTTTCCTGAACTTAAAAAAAATGCTTTGCACAAACTATGCATAACTCGTTGCTATGTTAATCATACATAATAAAAGTGTATATTTCACCTTCTGATAACTTATGCTACTACAGTAATTTTCTAGTGAATGTAAGTCTCATTTGCAAGTTATTTAAAAAAAACTGCTTAAAGCATGTGTACAATGATATAGGACAGGGATATTTATCACATTTGTAGTTACAAACGTATGGAAGCTACATAAATGGGTATAACTAATGGAACATCTAAATAAATAAATCATGGTACATATAAAAAAATAAAAAAACTTGCTCATTATTCTTTGGTCAAGAGAATGAGTTTCTATATCAGCTTGCTTCAAGGAGCTATTTTGAGGAGATAAGTAAACTTAAATTTTCCTGTTCCTCTTTATAGAAGAGACTTGAGGGTATTCAAATATTTCCCTCCTACTCCCAACATAACTTTAAGAAAATCAGTAAATCGTTGCTAATTAAATAATTAAAATGAATACACTAGCCAAAACAAACTTTAGGTCTAATACAGGGGAATTATTTGTTATATACTTTACATGTGATTTATATTTTATAGGGATTCTTTGGGCAATATATACAAATTTATTTTCGAGATAATTTGAAATGAATTTGTCATTCCTCCCTGCTGCCTTAGAACCACTCTTTGTCCTGTCTTTTCTGCCCTGGTACCATCATCCACTTAGTCACTAAGACAGTTTAAATTCTTTGTTCTCATTCCATCCTCTCTTCCAATTAGTCTTAAGTTAAAAAAATTCTATCTCCTTTCATCTCTCAGATCTGTTCCTTCTTCTTCACATTGTTTCCTGAATTCAGGATTACTACATTAGCCTTGTTCCATACTAAATATAAAATATATGTTTTAAAAATGAAAATATACTCATTTTACTTCCCTGATTAAAATTCATTTTTGTAGCTTTTGAAGGATTAGAAGGATTAGAGGCATTGTCTTTCTGGACAAAGTTCAAACATTTAAACCTAGCTCCCACAGCATTTCATAATTCAGCTTCTACCATTATCTCTCTTCTCATTTCCTGATTCTGTCCTCCTCTCAAACTTTCCTCCAAACAAGAACTCTCAGTATCTCGAATGGTTCATTTTGCTTTACATCTCTATACCTCTGTTAGCAGAGCTCTTCTCTTCGCCTGTATTGCTCTTCTCACTCAGCCAATTCTTACTCAGCAGCAAAGCTCAGCCTGAGTCCTCTTGTCCGGGAAGTGTTTACTGAACCCTTTGGTGCTAAATTAGATGCTCCTCTTCTGTGTCCCAACAGACTCTGAGCATCTCTCATAGGACTTACCGCCTCATACACCAAATATTGATTTACTTGTTCAGTAAATTTAGACTCTTAAATCCTTGAGGGCGGCAAGTACCAGTTTCTTTTTTTATCAGCAATCCTTGATATATAACAAACATCTGATAAATGTTATAAGTAAACAAAAATTGATGCATCATTTTGTCACTTTATATTATAAAATTTTATAATGGTTTTAGTTTTGGTGTTATGAAACATTATCTCTCATAGTTTTGGTTTCTTTGCTGAATCTTTGGTTTGGAATACAAACCCTATTCTGGTATTCTTTCAGAAAATGTGATAGATTTAATAGCATAGTTTTCATAAACCACTGGATAATAAATGTGTAAGACATTGGTCATTCTTAGAAGGGAACAATAATTACAATAACTCATGAAATGGTATTTTATAAAAGTCAGTCAACTCTTTTAGCTCAATAAAAATAAGTTATTTTAAAGAGAGGTTCTCAAAGAGAAATCTGTTTAGGTTCCAGGATTATACAGTATATTCTCTAACTGTGTTCTATTATAATGTATGAAATATATATATGCATACATATGCATATATATATATGGCATATGGTGTATATACAACAAATACATTCTGTTAAAAATCACCAAGTGCTTTATACTGTAATTCTTTTTGACAAACTGCCAAATTGAGCCACTGCCACTTGAGTGCAGAAAGAAAGTGAAGCTGTGAATCTTTCTGGAATTTGAGGAATGGCCAATGCTTATCCTATGGATAGCAGAGATAGTGATTGTGAGAGCACCATTTCAAAAACTTGGAAGGAATTTTAACTCAGTGGAGAACTTGAAGTTTCAAGAGAAAGAATTTAGATTCAAGCAACTCCGTATGATACTAGAAATGTATTTTAAATAGTTTTCTGCTTTGGGTTTTGCTTTTTTCTAAAGGGCTTTGTCCAGTGGCATAATGTGAAGGCCTAATGAAGAGCAAATAATAAGTTTAAAGTATTTGGAAAAGAGAAAAGATGTATGAAGTAGAGGATATTTATGTATTTATATATCTGATTTTTCAGGAAGAATTTGAGACTTAGAAATTTTTTTCTAGTAAAGACATAATGTAATTTATATAGCTTACATTCCGTTTTATTGTTTTGCTGTCTTTACTTAGAAACTTGAAGTGATAAATAATGTTGGCATTGGTTACTTAAAGATCTTGCTTGTGGAAGATGGGACCTGGAAGGTTTTAGGGGGGGATGGTGCAAAGAAAGGTGATATGTGGGTGGAACTGTAGAGATCCAGCAAAGGTAGTTCACATAGTGATTATTTATGGTCACTCATGATCTTATAGTTTACCCTTATGCTTAACATCTATACCATGGCAAAATATTACATCTGGTATTTTATTTAAATAGTTTTAGAATATTCACATAACAATGATCTAAGAATTGGCTGGATTACATGTTTTGTCTATAGTATATGTACCCTTTCTTGACTGAATTACTTTTGCACCTTTTTTGCAACCAATTGACTATATATCTGTGTGAATCTGCTTCGGAACTCTTTTCTGTTCCATGAATTCACCTGTTTATTCTTACACCAATAACACATTGTTTTGAGTACCGTATTTCATAGTAAGTATTGAAATATAAATTATTTTGATTTGGCCAATCCAAATTCTATGTTCCTTGCATTTCCACAAAAATGCAAGGAACATAGAATTTGGATTGGCCAAATCAAAATAATTTTTATTTCAGCTTCTCAGTTTTTGCAAGAAAGCTGTTGGGATTTTGGTTGGGATTAAATTAGATCTATTGATCAATTTGTGCTGAACTGACTTTTTTTTTTGGTATTTCTATTGGCTATCTATCTATCTATCTATCTATCTATCTATCTATTTATTTATTTATTATGGTGACATTGGTTAACGAAATCCAGTAAGTTTCAGGTGTACAATTTGAACTGACATTTTAATAGTAACAAATCTTCTGATTCAAAAACAGTGAATTTGTTTTTTATGTTATTGTAAATGATATTTTCACGCATTTTAATTTTAAATCTATCTGCAAATTAATGATGTTTATACTTATTCAGTCATTTTGAAGTTATTCTAGTGAACTTTTCACTTTAGTTGCTATACATTTTAGTTCTTGAATTTTCATTTGTTTTTAAAAAATAGTTATATTTCTATGGAAATACAAACAGAAATAGTTTTTATTTAAGTTCTTTCCAAATTCTAATTCTCTGCTGAAATTTCTATCTTTCTGTTATTTTTAGTGACATCTCAATTATAGTTGATTTGTGTATCTGATATGTTCAACATGTGGCTCTCCTGTAAGTTTGTTTCTATTGTCTGTTTTTTGTTCTGTTTTTTCAAGTATCTGATCTTGTCTCCTAGTATCTTGGATAATTTTTGGTTGGATTCTGGGCATTATGTATGAAAAATTATAGAATTAATTTTTAAAGGTTGTTTTATTTATGACTAGCCCTTACTCTTGGATGTAGCACCTCGGAAGTCTCAGTTGAAAGTCTGGAATGTTTAACAGGACATTTACTCCTAGGAAGACTCAGAACTTTAATTTTATCTCCCTAACTTTTTGGAAGTGGGAAAAATTCTTTGCCCAGCTTCTCATTCTCACAGTTGACACATTCTTTTGGCTTCTCTCTTATTCTATCTCTATACCATTTGGTTTGTCATAATCATATACAAAACCTCCATGTAGATTTAGTATATAAATCTAAACAAAAATTAAAAACTCAGTTAAAAATAAAGGTGAATATTTTTAAGGCATTGGGTGTAGAACAGGATTTATTAAATATGAAGCAAAAATCTATAAAGAAAAGATCAATGCATTTTATAGCAAAATTAAGAACTTTCAATCAAAACAGCATGGTACTGGCATAAAAACAGACACATAGATCAATGGAACAGGATAGAGAGACCCCAAATAAACCCATGCCTGTATGGTCAATTAATTTATGTCCGAGTAGGGAAGAATGTACAATGGAGTAAAGACAGTCTTCAATAAAATGTGCTCGGAAAACTGGCAGTTACAAAATAGTCATGGAGACGTAAAGTATAGCATAGGGATTGTAGTCAATAACATTATAATAACTATGTATGGCTCCAGGTGGGTAGTAGACTTATTACGGGGATAACGTCATAAATTACATAAATCTCTAATGACTCTGCTGTACACTTAAATATTGAATGTCAACTGTAATTGAAAAATTAAAAAAAATTTAAGAACTTTCTTTTATCAAAAAAGTTTCTAAAGTAAA